TAGAAATTGGATTTAACCCAGCCATTCCACTATTTCCCAAAAGTATTAAAGATACCATATTACAGTGACACATGCATACCCATGTTTACAGCAACACAATTCATAATAGGTAAATCTTAGAAGCAGCCTAAGTGCCCATCAACAGATGAATAAAGAAAATAAGGTACTATACCCAATACCACTCTGCCATAAAAAAGGATAAACGAGTCATTTGCAGGAATATGTGCTTGAGACCACAATATTAAGTAAATCTGACATGCAGGCTTGAATAATGCATGGTTTCTTTTATATGAGAACTTCAATATTTAAGATAAAAAGTAAAATATAAAAAATGGGACAAAGTGAGATGGATTTTCGGCATATAGGAAAGTAAATGAGAAATGGGGTGAAGTGAGGCTCTCAAAAAGGGGAGGAATAGGTGCTGGGTACATGAGCCAAGACCCTATGAAGAATATGCCCATCATGTATTACAAATATCTGAAGAGGTCTAAGAGATGCAAGGAAGAGATGGGGATTAAAAAATTAAGAAATGTCATGTACATTTACAACTCCCCATGATGAATGCAATTATAACGGAATAGACCAAACCATGAGGTTTTATTATTTGAGCTATTAAATTCTCACACTGGTGTTTTTTCTTTTGAAAACAGAAGTGATCATTAATAATTACCAGCACTGTAAACATATGCCAGACAGGTATTATTTTAAGTATATCTGGACTTGAACAAGGAATCTAATTTCTCATGATACCATCTGATAAAATGGAGAAATGAGGACTCAAAAACAGGATAGCATCGCTTTATTTTCCTCCAGAATCTGGAATTCCAACATGAAGTTATTCAGATCAAATATCACTTTACTGGTAAGTTGAAGAACATGCCTTTTAAAATCTGTATCAACTGATATACCATATTCCTGCATTAGACATTAGACTACTCAATGACTGGTATAAACTTGATAGTCATTTCTTCTGGGAAGATAAATTCTTTAAAAGAATAAGTCTTTTGATTTACATATTCTTCTTCTAGTACCCTGCAAGTGACCTTGGACCTTTAGAGGTCATTCTCCTTCAAAACTTGTTAATTTCTCACTTAGCTATCCTATCTCTACCAACTTATGTTTCTAGAGGTCACAGTCATTCCATTTCTGAAGCTTCTATCAGGTTGATGAAATTCAAACACTTTCGTATTTGCATCATATACTGTTTAACAGCCAGATAAATGAAAATAACATTAGGACTTTAGGAACTGAAGCTCAAGAGACTGCAACTAGTCTGATGTGTTTAAAGTGTCTCTTTTCATCATACTACAGAGTATTAACGATGAAGAATTACTTGCCCAAGGTCATTCAATCATGATTTAATTTGGTTATGACTTTAAAGCCAAAGCACAAAACCACTACTGAGCAACTTACAAAGAGTTAATCCTAGTTCATGGCACAAACTTGTAATAATAGCACTCTGGGAGGCTGAGGCAGGAAGATCCCAGCCCAGATTTCCAATTTAGCAATTTTAGAGCTTGTTTCAAATACAACATAAGGGTGTCCATCTGTGAATGCAGTTTAGTGCAAAGGCCCTGAGTTCAATCCCCAGGAGGGAGGAGAGGGAGAGAAAGAGGAAGAGATACTGATGTGAGAGAAGAGGAAGGGAAGTATGAGAAGGGATGGAGAAAACAATGAGAATCGGACTGCTAAGGTTCATTTTCAGACTCCGCTAGTTATTTTGTGATATGAACAGATTTTTTTATTTTAATTTTTTTTTTTTTTGCGGAACCAGGGATAACTTGTGTTTGCCAGGCAAGCACTTATTCTACTGAGCTATCCCATGCCCATTAACAGATTTGTTTAAACTTTACTCTTCAGATTACGCTTCTGTAAAATGTGATTACTACTTCTGTAGGATTACTGCAAAGAGAAAATTTGTAAGTAAAATGCTGAGCAAAGTACCCAGTGTAAGGATTAAATGTATTTATTGTTATGTCCCTGCTATTTTTGCAGAGGTATGTATAGGAACCAGATGATTAAGAGAAAACAAAAGTCAACATAACTGGATATTATACAACCTAAAACAGACTTAAAAACTTTTAGAGCAACAGATGGTTTGTCTTTTACCCACATCATCTTTATTTCTGTTACTTTTTTTTTCTATTTGATTTAGGTTCAATTTTTTATTGTCTTAAGGTTGAAGGTTAGGCTACTGATCTAAGCACTTATTTTTTTTCTCTTTTGAGGCAAGGTCTCACCATGCAGGGCAGACACACACAGCCATCTTGGCTCACATCCCAAATGCTGTGACTAAAGGACTACACCAGCACACACCTTTGCAATAAGGAAGGCAAAGGGAAGATACAGCGATGAGGCAGCAAAGCGTCTCCTTCCTGGACAGAACCGCAGAAGTCTTAATGAAACACCATATAATCACTCTTGTAATAAAATGTACTGTGTGTATTTATAAAGATTTAAATCCTGATAGAAACAAAGAAAGTCAGTTTACTTAAAGATTTTTTTTATTCTAAAAGAAATTGATCAGTGCAATCCTGTGGAACCAATGTCTGTTACAGAAACTGTTATCAAAAGCAAACAAAAAAACCCTTTTAAATTACTTATATATTAACTTTTGAAAACAAAAGTCATAGGGTCTATTTTGTTCTATTTAACTATAAATGCTACACATTTACAAACTGAAATAAAAGAAATGGACAGTACATAGATTAAATGAAATCTCTTAAAGAATAAAACTGCTTCTCAGCCTGTGTTTTCAAAGCTGATTTTCACCAAGCCTGGATGAAAACTATGAACCAAAAACTGTGTTTCCTTATGGAAAAAAAATATTTAAATTATTAGCAAAGTAACATCTTACAATGTATCTTCACTCACTTGAAATCTTAGTACAGTATAAACTTGTGTATCAACTCACTTTTCATTATTCTACTTTAAAAATATATACAACTATGATATCCAAATACATAATCTGAATCATCTGTCCAAACATAAATATTTGGGAAATTCAACTGCCACACAGATTATGAAAAGATTAAAAAAAGAGATGAGCTACAAATTACATAGGAGGAAGTACAGTTATTCAGCAATCATGTCTGGAGACATGTCCTCTAAATTATATATATGTATCACGTTGAGCAGATAGCCACCAAAACTAGAGCTACCAAAAAAAACTGAAGACAAAGCCCATGCCTTTTCTTTTTTAGACAAGGTCTTGCTATATAGTTCAGATTGGGCTTAAACTTGTAGCAACCCTCCTGCCTCAGGCTCCCCAGTACCGGGGTTACAGGTGTGTGCCACCATGTCCTGTCACTCTTTTCAATAACAGGTAACAGTGGTGATTTAAAAAATTGTACGTTAATGCTTTCATGAAAAACTATTCGTGGTAATAGTCTCATGCAGTATTTTGAAGTTTGGAGAGGCACAGTTTAAATGAGTGCACAATCTATGCCAAATGTGGCAAGATCTATACCTTACTGTTTAATTATGGTGTAAGGATCTGAATATAGCAAAGTCCATAGGCAACCTTTACATACACCCATGTTTATCAATATGTTAACATTAATGCCTAAAACCTTCAAATCTAAGTATCAAGGAACATTTCTAAAGCTCCAGCACAACTTAAATACAAGAACTCAAATATAGAAATCTGCACAATCTTAAGCTTCTTAATCCACTGATAAATGTTGCTGAAGGAATTCTCCAGAATCTTAAAAAGGCTGAAAACATGTCCATTGCTTACTACACTAAGATATCTAAAATAGCCAGCATGGCAACTTGAACCCACTTTGTTCCTACATCTGTGTGTGTGAGTGCATACACACATTTTAAGATAGTTTAGAAATGAGAGTTAACTTCTAGTCAGTAATGGTTAAAAAGCTTGAACTGCTATTCAATCAAGGTCCATGGCATATGCATCTTGTTCAGTACTCATCACCATTGAGTGAAAAAGGGAGGATGGGAGAAAAGCAGTTGCATATTTGTTTTTTTAAACAGCCTAAGAGTCTTAAAAGTCCACATAACTTTGCATCATCCTGTATTTCATTCTGAAATGCTTGAATAAAATCTTATTTCAACCAGTTTAATCTACACAAGTTTTAAGACACAAACACAATCTAAACCCCATAATGTACAGAATATGCACTAATATTCATTAAATGAAGTACAATCAATGGAAGTTACCAAATAGGAAACACACGAAGCATTCTAAATCTTTAAATCACTTTAGAGTTGCTAAACAGACATTATAGGAACAAAATGTGCAGGATGGAAAAAAAACAGAAAAAAAAAAAGAAACACCCCAAAACATCTCAGCACATTGCACCTAAGAGGATAAGATGTACGGCACTTATGTGATGTAGTATTTGAACTGTCAACTTAAACTGAGAATGACTTAAAGACAGTGAAGTCATATTAAGAGCAAGATCTAGCCGATTAAAATGTTAAAATGACATTTAACATTTTTTCTTTGTAGAACCACTAGAAATGTAATGAGTGCAGATAACAAAAAAATTCTCATTTAATTCACCTCTCTCCAATTATTTATTATTCTACCTATTATAGTAGTCTGATTTTTAAGGTTTGTATGTAAACCTCTATTATGTTATGTATACAAGCCATTTTCAACGTGGTAGCCTTTGTAGAAAAACAATATAGTTATAAATCATAGAATTTAAACCCACCAAATAAAAATGTAACATCTTCTATGCAAGCAAGATATAAATTATACCACAATCAACTAAAAATTTTATCATGGTAATTACATTTTCATGGAAGCCACCTCCCCAATATAATTAAGCAGTGCAGAACAGGGCTTGGGCTACAGTTAATCACATTTGGTTTCCTTAAAAACATAACTTTATTCACTATACACAAATAAAAGGCATTTTCTTCCTCCATAACAGATATAGACATTAAATCTAAGGTTTTTAAAATATCAACTACAAGAAAAATACTTTTAAGTGATTAAAAGGAATCAAGATACCAAAGTTTAGTGTGTGAAGAGTAGAAATAAACAACCAAGAAAAAAACCCAGATCATTGGTGTTGAATTTAACATGAACAGCCCAAAGTAAGTTCCAAAGTTTTTCCACCTTTACAAATAAATAAAGGTGTCCTTGCCATAGTTTGGGGTATGATTTAAACATCTCTCCCAACAAGTATATGAGCAAGATTTTAAACTGTTGCCAATATTAAGTTCTCCAGTACCTAAAATTAGAAGACAATTTTACAGTGGCAATGGTGTGTCACTTCTCACAACACAGTTAGGATCCAACACGAGTTGTGGTGGTTCTTTTATCTGAGAAAAAGCTTTTCAGAAGAAATACCTGCCCTATGCTAACCACCAAAAGGATGAGGGCTTCTCCTACTGACCAATAAGCCACTCTTGTATTGAGATCCTCTGCCCGACTTCGGCCTTGTGCTTCTCTCAATCGGAAATGAGTCTGATAGTCAATGACAGACTTCAGGGCTTCATGAATGGAAACACAGGCAGATTCCATCTGAGAAGAAAACATTCTCAGTTAGTATGTTTAACACTTTCTATACACCCTGTATCTAGCATATTTATGCTATTTTTCAGTCTCTTTCCATTTTTCCTTGTACTCATTCAATTATTATAAATGGACACTCATTCAATTACTTATTATGCCAGTTGTCCTGGTCATGTAACTCTTCTATTCATTTCCCTAGACAAGTGGTAAAGCTAGACATGCCATGAGGCAGCTGTTTTCTCCAAACTGGGATGTTACAGGCATGGCCTTAGGAATGTGGCAAAAATATCAGGTAAAGTTGGCAGCTACAGAATTTTACACACAGGGTTTTTAAAAAACATTAGGACAAAGAGAAAGACAGTTAACTAAGTTCATCAATAATGAGTAGAACAAATATGTCAAAAAACCAAATATGGCAATAAAAAGATTGAGTTAGTCAAAGTTATTTGTAGTCTTTTAAATATGGACATAACATTATCAAAATCTTTGGCTAATTTTTGAATATGAAAATAAACAGAAAGGAATTTTTTTTTTACATTTATATTTGCTAAATAAATCTCTATTGTACCTGTAACTAAACCAATGTATGTTTAAAATGGGATACAAAAGTTTCAGTTTCACTATTCAGTCTGTGAACCTTTACCTGTTAATGCCCTGCTCTGACATATTATGTTATACATTTATTATACCATTTAAGAAAGGCTGAATCTAATATATTAATTTTTAATTAATTTTTAGTTTTTTGAGAGAAGGCCTTGTGGTGCAGTTCAGGCTGGCCTCAGGGTCTCCTGAGTGCTGGAATTATAGGCATGCGTCACTATGCCCAGCTTTAACATTTTAATTTTTAAAATTTATTTATTTGTGTGTGTGTGTGTGTGTGTCCAGCTCAGCCCACCAGGGGGGGGGGCTGGCTGGCATGTGGTGCTGGGGGATTGAACAGCAGTCCCTGTGCTTTGCTAAGCTTGTTCTAAGTAGGTGCTTTAGACCACTGAGCCATCTCACCAGCCCCCAGCTTTAACATTTTTTATAAAAGGATTTAATATTTTTGACATAATATATTGCTAATATTTCACAAATCATGTATGTATTAACAATTTAGAAAAATCTGAGTTTCCCTTAATGTTAATTAAGGTATAGATAATAAGATATAACAAAACATTTAATATGGTTCTAGCACAGTACAAAAGGAATTATAAAATAATTAAAGTTGTTTAACATGAAAAATTATGAGGTAAACAAATTACAATTTGTCTATTAGAATATAAATTTTTTGTTTGATGAGGCCCCTAAGAACAGACAGATTGCCAAAATGAATGATTTCTAATGGGTTAAGAAGTGCTTCTGGACTTTCTGTCTCCCATGTATTTTCAAGTTGACAGGGACCCAAGGGCTCTTCACCTGTAAAGTACACATTAAGATTTTGTTGCTTGTATCCTATGCCATTCCCTACTCTAGGTATTTACTGTGAACTCTCAGTAGGAGCTAGAAACCTGAGATTCAGGTATGATGTTCTGGATGGGATGCCTCAGACCAGGGTTGTATACTTCTTACAACATAGTGTGATGAGGCACATAATGTCTATTTGTGAATCAGACTTAGATGACACCAGTTTGGTCATCCACTATAAAGTTTCCCTTCAGTTTTTCATCAGTTTTTCCCCCTAATAGTTGTCATTCCTATTCTAGATCCATTTCTGTAAAACAGGTCAAAACTAGTGACAGTAAAATGCATTCATTTATTCTGTTAGCAGGTAATTTTTTTCCATTTTAAAATATGAATAACTGCTTTATAACTATTTCTACTATAAGAGAAACTTATTAGCTTTCTGAAAGTGGGAAACTGACAAAATAGAAAGAAAAATGTCATATGAAAAGTAGCCTATGTGGTACTGATTGCTTCACTGCCAATCACTATTTGGCCACTTACATTATCTGAGTAAACTACTTTCTTGCACAAGTTAAAATTCATTACAGTAGAGACAAGTAAAGTTATAAACCACAGCCCCAAGGAAAAAATCACTTACAGAGGGGGCAGTTCCTTTTATATAGGATCCTAAAGAGAACTTTTCTAAAACTACTATACTAGGTCTGAACTAAGGCTATTATACATTCTTTTTTTAAATTTTATTTATTTTGTGTGTGTGTGTGTGTGGCCAGCTCAGCCCACCAGGGGGCGGCCCTGCCTGGCATGTGGTGCTGGGGGATTGAACCCAGGTCCCTTTGCTTTGCTAAGCTTGTTTTTTTAAGTAGGTGCTTTAGACTACTAAGCCATCTCACCAGCCCCAAGGCTATTATACATTCTTAAAACTGCCTCCATCACCTAAATTGTTAGCAGAAAAAACAAATGGGACCTGGAAACACTGCTAATACCAGTTTAAGGTTGCAGTAAGTAGATGGTAAATAACTGTCTTTTTTGTACATGTGGTCATATAACACTGATGACTGAACTCAGTGCTATGCTAAGCACTCTACCACAACCTCTTTTACTTTTTTGAGACAAGGTATTGCTAAATCTTGCTGCTGACCTCAAAAACTGCAATTGTCCTGCCTCAGCCATCTGAGTAGCTTGGGTTATAGGTGTGTAGCAATAAAATAATGTCTTTTGATGTTTTAAGTCAGATATAACCTAAGCTCATATCTTATTTGAACTGGAAATGACAACCCCACTAGCACCTGAGCAGTACCTGTTTACGAAATTTAAGTTTCTTTTGGTTTTTCTTTTTTTTTTTTTTTAAGTGAAGGCTCTACAGGGTTTTCAGGGTCTCACTACTAGATTGGACTTGTAGTGATCCACCTGTTTAGTCTCCCAAGAGCTGGGATTACAGGCGGGCGACACCACATCCAGTCTCAATTGCCATCTCAGTGTGCTCTGGGGGCGGAGCCAACATGGCAAGTCCAGTTGGTTTTTCTTTTATTAAGTTTTGTTGTTTTTTTTTTTTGCGGAACCAAGGATTAAACTCAGGCCCTTGCGCTTGCCAGGAAAGCGCTTATTCCACTGAGCCATCTCCTCGGCCCAAGTTTTCTTAACATAAAACCCAATTTAGATTACATAACTATCTTTGTTAGATGATTTATCATTAATCTTCAATATTTTACCTAAATTACATCAAAAGTTATTGTAACTACAGTTGAATAACATTAATTATGGTACAAAGACTGCTGTGTGGTACATTTATGTATTATGCATGTATCATTTTGCTCCCAATTAAACTATTAAGGTAAGATAGCAACATTTCTTAACAGGTTATAGAAAGTTTTAGAATGTTGGAGTAGTGCTTAGTCTTCCAAAATTTCCTTTACTACTGATATTTCTATCATTTGACTCTTAAATGTCCCTCAAAGGCCCATATATAAAGGCTTGGTCACTGGATGATGTCCCTAAAGGAGATACAGGGGTCCAGCTCTTGCTCCACTTCCTGGCTGGCCTTGGGTCAGCTGCTTTGCTACTCCTTGCCTATCATGTTGTTGACTTGCCACAGGCCCCAAAATAATGAAGCCAGCTAACCATGAATGGTAACCATTAAACCATGAGCTGAAAAAAACCCTTCCTCCTTTTAAAGTGATTACAGGTATTTTGCCATAGCAATAGAAAATAGTGATCTGTTATCTGAAAGCTTTCTTCACACTTAAAAATGCATTAATGGGGCCGGGAAGATAGCTCAGTAGAATAAGCGCTTGCCTTGCAAGCGCAAGGGCCTGAGTTCAATCCTTGGTTCTGCCAAAAAAAAAAAAAGCAAAAGCCTGAAGATCTCTGTGAAGTGTCTAATCATCAAATGACTTAATGTATAATATTAAGTTATGTTTATTTGTTTGCTGTAATCATATCAACATTATTTTGCTAACTTTTTATTTACCTGGGTAAGAGCACTGACTCGGTTCTCACTAGGAAACAAAGGTGGGTCTTCTCCAACTTGAAAATCAAAATATACAGTTTTATGTGTGAAAGTAGAAAATTCATTGCTGAAACAAAATTTGTATGTCCCATTTTTGGAAGCTGTGAAGGTAAAACTATCATACTGCTTCTTCATCTCCTTGTACAACACTTTGCCATCAGGATCTTCTAATCGACAATCTACATCATAGTGACCACCAGTAATCACCTAAAAGAAATTAAGAAAATGAATATATCTCTACAACTAACACAAATCAAAGAGTTTCCAGTTAAAATGGCAGTAAGGTTATTAGCAAATGACTTTCACTATCACATGCAATTTTACATTTGCAAAGTTTTCACCAATGGATAAAATCAGGAAGGCAGATTTCAGTTCAATGAAAGCTTTACAGAAACTAGACAAGTTTCCTACTGTAGAGGAAATTTTTATTAATTTCTGGATTCATTTATTCATCTCTGTGCTAGTTACTAATGGACTGCTGTTATCACTTGATTTAAAGGCAAGTGATAAGGAAAAGACATTAAACTTAAGGGCTCCTTGCTACCATGAGACTAAATGATGCAGCTTTGCTATTTTTAAGCTTTCATTTTCTTGGATCAACTAATATTGATATTTTCCATCAATGACAGGGATCAAACTTTGGACTTCAAAGAAAGATGTTATGCCAGCTTAAATCATTTACAAATGATGATGACTGACAACTATGTTACAAATCGTTTTGATAATTAAATGAAACAGAACTATATATTTGGGAAAGTATAAAATACTAATATAAAAACATTTTGATGTTGAAAAGAGATTTTATCAAATTGTGAATTTGCCCCTCCTTCCCAAAAATCATTTTCTAGTAGAGAAATGACTTCAATAGCTATTAAGATTTGACCACTGTATTTTCAATTATCCAATACATATATACAAACTGAATGGGATGTGTATTCATCATTCCACTTTTCTTCTGCCAAACTTTTAAAATTTTTTGGTGATACTGGAAATTGAACCTAGGGCTTTTGCACTGAACTACATCCTCAGCTTCTTTTCTTTCTTTTTTTTTTTTTTTTTTTTAATAAAGAAAGGATCTCACTAAGTTCCCCAAGCTGGGCTTGAACTTCTTCTGATAATCTTGTCTTACTTTCATCAAACTATTTAAAACAAGTACTCTTATCTGAGTTAATGTCCTTTTACATTACCTCTTCCCCTATGATTACAATCTGGGATCATCCCAAACTTAGCGGCCTACCTATCCAAATGCCTACAGAAACGACTTCATCTTACTATCTCTCTCAAGTTCATCCTATTCTTTCCCTAACTAATTCACAATACTTCACCATCACAATTCCCTAAAAAGTGTTCTGTAATTTAATCTGCTTTCCCTCTAACCCAGGGTTCCCAATCTCAGCACCATCTCCATTTTGAGCTGGCTAACTGTAGTCAAGGTGTGCTGTCCTGTGACTGCCACATGCAGCATCTGCTCTCTACACTACTACCTGCCAGCAGAAGCCCTCCCACAGCAAACCACATCTGTGTGTGCTGGAGGCGGTGAGCATCCTATCTTTCTTCACTACCCTCAGTGGACACTCATTTAAAACTTTCTGACAGTGACAATTCACAACCACCCAAAAAATCCAAACCTTCTAACAGTGGCATACCACCCCACTGTACCTCCTATCAAACAGGGTCAGGACTTTCGTTCATATGTTTGCTCATTTTATGTTCCAAAAATACTAGTCTACCCTAGTTCTCTGACAAATCATCACTTTACATCTGCACTGACTGTTGCAGTTGTTTAACTGCTACAGAAGAATCACAGGAGGGTTCGGTGAGATGGCTCAATGGGATAAGCGCTTCCCTAGCAAGCACAAAGGCCTGAATTCAATCCCTGGTTCTGGAAGAAGAAGAAGAAAGAAGAAGGAGGAAGGAGGAAGAAGAAAGGAGGAAGGAGGAAGGAGGGAGGAAGAGGAAGAGGAGGAGGAGGAAGAGGAAGAGGAGGAGGAGGAGGAGGAGGAGGAGGAAGAGGAGGATGAGGAGAAGGAAAAGGAAAAGGAAAAGGAGAAGCAGCAGCAGCAGCAGCAGCAGCAGCAGCAGCAGCATCACAGGATGCCAAAACAGTGTTCACAAATTTAGCTTATTACAGGAAAAGAATATTAATTTCAACTATCACTGCCAAGGGCTACTTCACAAGATGTCTAGAGATATCAGGCATGGGCTCCTTTCTCTTCCCTCAGTGAGGTCTACGGCCAGACACATATACTTTCTCTCACACAAGTGTGCAAAGAACACTTTAGAAGCCCAAATATAGTGTTGGCTAAGTTTTAAGTATTTTGCTGGTCACACAGGTATATTCTTGCTATATACCCAGTATCAACAACAGAGTCCTTGGTGGCAGTGGGGGGCGTGGGAGGACATAATGCTTACCCAGACCAAACCTCCTCTCAAATTCTCAGATCCAGAGTCACAAAGCCAAATTATTACTACTCAGTATGTTTCAGCACCACACACAAACTCTAGCAGAAGGGTTCTCGCTAATTTAAAGCCTGCTGGAACTGAGGCTCACAAACATACCTGCCTCAGCTGCCCTGCTCTTCCCCTTTTATTATACTGTGGAGCAATCCCTATTTATCCTTCCAGACTCATCAGTCTCTCAGGTATCAGGTAAAGTTCTCAAGATCCCTCTGTCCTCTGGCAACATTCTGTTCAGTTTGTATTTTTACTGCTACATTTAACATTAAGACTCTGTCTGCAAAAACTCCCTGAGGCAAAAATCTTGTCTTGGAAAGGTAGGAGAGTTTAACTTGGGACCATATACTGTCTTTTTCTTGTAAATTCGCTGTCCTTAGCTCTTAACGTGTCTCATTTGTAAAAGAATAAAGTCTTATTCATTTCATCTGAAATTTTTTGAGAATTAACACACCTGAAATAACTTGCATACCACTTACATATAACACAGACTTTTTTTTTAGCTTTTGTAGTATCAACATCCAGCATAGTATCTGCACATGTAAGAATTCAAGAAATGGGGCCGGGGAGATGGCTCAGTAGAACAAGCGCTTGCATGGCAAGTGCAAGGGCCTGAGTTCAATCCCATGTTCCGAGGGAAAAAAAAAAATTCAAGAAATGTTTATTAAATGAAAATAAAGAAAATTCTGGCTTACACTTGATATACCTTTTTTTTTTTTTTTTTGGTCCCCTGGTCCTAATCCATGACTTTAACAAGCATAAGGGTCATCATTAATCTTCCTTTCCTTATCCACCATAGCCAAAATATCACCAAATCCTGTTGACGTTAATTTGCTACATTCTCTCCAAATCTTTTCATTTTTCTCCACTATCATGGCCACAGTCTAAACCATTATTTTTGCCTGGAATTGACAATGGTCTCCTACCATCTTCCATGTGTATTATGAGATACCATGCCCACCTTCTCTACCTTCATGTTACAATCAATGAAGCCACCAAAACTAGTACTGATCATGTTACTGAACTACTTAAAAACCCCTGATGGTGTCCCACACTCAAAGGAAAAACTAAAATCCTTAACATGGGCAGCAAGGCTCTGACAGACTGGCCCGGGCTGACTTCCCTTCCTCTGGCTCCTATTTTCAACTATATCGAACCTCTTTACAGTCCTCAAATTCTTAAGTGTTCACTCTACCCATAGGGTATTTCTCATCTTCTTATCAAACTACTTACAACTCATCCTTTAAAGTTCAGCTTTAAAGTAAGTTTCTAAAGGCTTTCATGGATGCCAAAGACTAGACCACAAATTCTCTATTTACAAATGATCACATACTACTTAAAGTGGGCAGTATGGAGGGGAGCCCAGTGCTCCAGAAGTGACCTTATCTGTTGGATCACTTCGGGGCACCAGCACCTAGCATTCAGTGACTGCTCAAAGGCTAAATGAGCCTACTGACAGACAAAAAGAGCAAATCACGTTCTAACCAAGGTAAGCAATGACACTGTTTTATAAAGCTTTTTTATATAACCCTAAAGATAATGGAGCTCACATTTACCACAATCCTTCCGTAACACCTTTGGCGGATGGTCATTCGACCTCTAATGGAGTATTTCCAACGACAGGGACTGTATTAACCAAGAGTTAATACACGGGAAAGGACGAAAAGCAATGGAGTTAGATGTTGGTATCACTGCAAATCTAATTAAAGTGAGGGTGTGTATTACAGAATGGGAGAATTGGCACTAGGCATTCTAGAATAGGAATAATCTTTTTTTAAAAAGAGAATCTTGCAATGAAGCTCAGTAGGCTTTACAATAAAACAACACAAAAGCATGTTAGGAAATGTAACAACTAGTGGAAGCATTTCTGTAATCCATACATCTTAATAACTGATCGAACACGTCTCTTGTTCAAGGTTTACAAAAGCTAAGGCAAGCGCCCCGCACTGACTACAGGAGGTGATTCTCAATTACTCTACGAATGAAAGCACACCGACGGGGGAGGCCCCGGGACGGCACAGCCCCACCCCGGGCCGCGGCCAGCTGGGCCCAGGCCCGCCGGGCCCGCGGTACCTGGAACTCGAGGGTGCACTTGGTGCCCTGAACTATGTCCTCGTAGAAGCACTGCTTGGCGTTGTCAGGCAGCTCGAAGGTGATCTCGGAGGCGCCGCCAGGCCCGGGCGCCAGCAACAGCAGCAGGAGCGCGAGCAGCCTGCGTCCCCAACGGCCCGCGGCGGCCGCCCAGCGCGGCGCGAACCCCGGCCGCGGCATCCCGAGACCGCGGCGGCCTCGGCACAGCTCCGCAGGGACGCGCTCAGGTGTGCGCCGGTTCGCTCGCGGGGCAGGCCTGGGCCCGAGGCGCTGCGAGGACAGAGGCGCCCGCGAAGTCGGCGGCTCCCACGAAGACGGAGCCGCTAGGAGCTGTGGGTGGGGAACGAGCCGCGGGAGTCCGAGAAGAAGTGCCAAGAGAACCGGCCACCGGCAAGGAACAACCGGGTGCCCAGAGATACCCGCCGAAAGCAGCGGAAAAGGACCAAGAGACCGGAAGTGGCGCTGAGCGCCGACAGGAAGGGGTGGGGCCTACGGCACCTGCCAGAGCTACCCGGATGCGCTCTCCTCGGTAGACGCCAGAGTGCGTACGTGGAAGCTGGCGAGGCGGCCAGCTCGTCTGAGATGAGGGGCGGAGCCAGAGCCTCGAGCAGGCGGGGGCGGGGGGGGGAGAACAAGGGGCGGGGCGGAGGCAGGGGCGGGGCGGAGGCAGGGGCGGGGCGGAGGCAGGGGCGGGGCCTGTGGCCAGGACTATATTCAGTGGCCTTTGTCTGCAAAGAGCTAATCTCAGACGGATCTTGGAGGGAGGAAAGATGGCTCTGCTTTGCTCTAGGCAGTCAAGCACTTGTGGTAGAGTGCTTTGGAGTTTTCAAATAAATACTTAACAAGGAGTGCAGATTCTGGGAGCAGACCGCCAGAGTTTGGATCCCAGACCTGTTGCTTCTTGACCACCTGTCTTTGCATCAGTAGGAAGTACCTTGATATGTAATTCTTCCAAGCTTTCAATATTTGAGAAACAAAAAAGAAAACCTAGAAGAGTGGTTTGCACGTGGTAAGCACTACATAATCCTTTTATTAAGTACAGATATCTAGTGAGCATTCTTTATCATCAAATTTATTCCACCCTTCAGAAAAAGAAAATCTCTATTAAGCGCTTACTATTCCTGTCTTACTGGTGAAAAAGTTAAGGATCAAAAAGGTTGAGTAATTTTGCTTACACCGCTAGTTTGTGTTAGATTGCTTAAAAACAATAGTAGGTAGTGGTAGCTAAGTGGTGATGTTTTCTAAAAGGCACTGTGTTTTCGCGTGAATATAATACTGAGGCAGGAGAGTCGGACACATTCACAGAAAAACAATGCAAAGCCCTGAACGTGGGACACCCTAGAAAGTGCTATCTTCAATTTTTCTGGTACAAAATCAAAGTTTTGGCAAGATGACCTACATCAGACCTCAGCCTAGAGAATGACAGAGTAAACAAAGAAAAGTATGCAACAAGATAATTTGTTTCTAGGTAAATCAGGTGTGTGGAAGACTAGACCAGGCGGGATTACACTTCTCTCCTGATTTGGTGCAGGTCATTCTCAGTTTTAAGCAGGCTGTCCCCTTACACATCACCCTGCTCTCGAACCAGGGCTGCTGCTATACTTTTCTCCTTACTGTTTTCAGAACTCAGTTGGGCTACTTGAAGCCTATCCTTCAAGTGTCAGTATAAATGTTGCTTCTAGGCTGAGTGGGTCAGTGGTAGAAGGCCAGGAGATTAGGGTGTGGCAGGCCTTTAGGCAAAGGGTTGTGACCTGTCATTCAAGGAGATCCAGGACACATGCAGAAAAGCAGTGCTCACACCTTGCCCCTGTGACTAACCAGAAAGCCAATATCATCAATTCTTCTAGTATGAAATCAAGATCTAATGTCAGTCTGGACCTAAAGAACTGGGGGGAGAGGATGTCAGTAATCATGTGGCCACTGCACTTTCTCATTCTCATCAGTTGCCTCTCACTCTGCAGAACATATTTTTCCTACCTTTAATAAATGTAAAATCCTCCTACCCTTTCAGCATATTTTAGCCAATTCTTCACTTAGAACAAGAACCTAGCAAGAATCTCTAGAAGTACCCACACACCAAAGAACTTTGATAACAGCACAGGAGCGCTGTACCACCTAGCTGCATCGCTAGCCCTTTTGTCAATGACGAGGCTGGCTCTCACTAAGTTATCCTGGCTGACTTGCTGAGTGGCTGAAACTACCGACGAAGCCCACCCTACATAGCTTTTTTCCCCCAGTAAATGACCATGGTGGGCTCTAGGCAGAGACTGAGTCCCTAGCCACCAAGAGCTAAGAAGGAGGTTTACGAGAAGAAAATGCAAGCAGGTCAGAGTCAGGCAGAGACTTGTGAAGGTTAAGGGGTGGAAAGTATGAAAGAAGAGCATTGCAGGGCTGTTCCTCAGCCTGAGACAACCAGTTTGTCTCTGTCTAAATTCAAGGAATAGTTTTCTCATCTTGGTAGTCAAGGTTCAGTCAATGGACAGACAAACACTGCAGAAGCTAGAGAACAAAGACCAAACTGTATATAAAGTAATACTTCAAAAGACAAGTTTTCTTTATTTGCAGTTTTATAGACTTAATAATAAGATTATGCTTATAAGTGCATTTTAAAATATGGTTGTATTGGTCATCTTTCCCATCACTGGAAATTAGCAGCACACAAAATAGGCTTAATGTATGTAACAGGCTTGAGTCCAAGGGTTCAGTTCATGGGGTGGGGGCGGGATCCAAAACAAAAACACTATGGCAGAGGGCTTGGTGGAGGGATGCTGCTCACTCCATGGCAGTAGCAAGCAGAGGGAGGGAAGACCACCAGCAAGAAATACGCCCTCCAAAGCACTCCCAGTGTTCTATCTCTATCTGGGCCTTTCACATTTGGAAAACGTTTTTGTGTTTTAGAAAATGGAAGTTTAAGACAGTAACAGCCACATTATCATCCTTTAGAAAATGCATTGTCCAAAAATTCAAGGAGCGAAGGAGAGAAAATTTCAGGTGGGCAGTCAGGCTGGAGAATACTTTGAAAGCTTTTTTTTTTTAATCTTTTTGAGACAATTCAGGCTAGCCTTAAGCTCACTTTGTAGTCTAGGCTGGTCTTGATCTGATAACAATCTTCCTGCTTCAGCTTCCCCAGTGCTGGGAATACAGGTGTGCACCACTACACCCCGCTGAAAGCTTTTAGATTCACCTGGTTTATTTTCAATTCTCCATCACTCCCACCCCGCACCATGCTGGCCACCAGATGGTGCTGTCCACTTTTTAAATTCTCTGTCCAGCCACAAAGAGCTGCATTGTTGTTTGCCTCTGAGATTTACAGTACTACAACTGAAATATTTGAGCACAACTTTGCAAAAGGTCACCTGAAGAACAAAAGGGAGAAGAAAATAAAGAATGGTTAGTGAATGGATCATATAAACCACATTAACAACAGCTTTTGGAAATACATATTAAAGGATTTGGAATTTTCCCTAGGGCTGTGCAGAACCACTGAAGAATTTTAACTATGAAAGAACCTAACTAGAATTCTATTGTAAAAAAGAGTATTTGGCTGCCATAAACATCTGGATTACAGAAGTACAAATATGCAACTAAGGGGACTAGCTGATAGGAGAAGTAGGTACCATTCTGACTCCCCTATCTGAGGGGAGATGAAAAGATGCTGGCCAACAGTGACTGAGTAGACCATAGAAGATGCTATGAGAAAACAATGGAGAGAGAGGTCCTGAGATAGAGGAAAGGCTTTCATGACGCTTTACTCTTACCATGAGGTCAGAGTACTCAGGCAGTCAGAAAAATCCCATTATCATCAAACAAAAGTAGAGTGTCTTTGCAGCGACCTGAGCAATGCTGTTTCTTGGAAAATTGTGAAATACCAGTCTGTAAATGAGCATCTCTTTCTAACCATTGCGCTAGAGGTTCAAAATAGCAAAAAGAACTCAAGCATTCTTATTTTTTATAGTAACTTCCTCCATTTCCTGTCACTCTGCAAGTCAGAGCTGTCTTCTCCTTGCTCTTGGGTTTGGCACATAATGAGTGATCTGCAAACATTAGCTGAAGAGTGGAAGGATGGAGAATAAAACATACTTGTGTGAAAGTAGAGCACCATTTGGAATCCTGCTTTCCTTCTCTATTGATGTATGTGTTAATCTTATTCTAACAATTTGAAAATTTTAGAGTAATTTAGTGTGGCATTTTTTTTCAAACAACCATATTTACTAGGTTGTCTTTAATAATTATGATTGTATTTTTCATTTATAGGGAAATCTTGGAAACAAAACTACACTGATAATTACAAAAGATTAGTTCTAGCGATGTGTCCAAGGCAAAAACAATTGAAGATGACTTTAGTTCCTATGAACTGAGCTTAACTGCCATGCGATGTCCTATTGTTGATTTACATAACTGGTATGAAAAGGATTACTCATAAAATAATGTTTAGCTTAATATAAGCAGTGGGAAGATAATGGTCATAATCTTGGTGAACAAGAGAGACAATGTATTAAAATTAAGAAAATCCTCATTAAAAATATTCTTTGAAAAGACCAACCTTTTTATTCTTATCAGCTATACAATATTCTAGATTACACAACTATATAAATCAGACTTAATGGAAAAAAAAGTTAGCTTGTCCTATTCCATGCTTCTCTCTTTCACTCATCGAAATCCAAGGAATCACCCTTGATTTCCCTGTTTTCCACAGTCTTTCTTTCACTGAATGTTTTTATTGAGAGAAGAACCTCTGATGCCTTTACCCTGATATTTTGGACCAGAATTTTCCTTACTACATGGGTAAGGAAACCTGAAAATGTTATCAGTTGTTGGAGCTATCTCAACACTATCATCAGTGTTGGCCTGCTCAGGGAGCCCAAGGGAAATTTTCATGGGTGAGGTCCCAAGGTTAAATAGTGCATGTGTGTCAGACATCAGCAACAGTAGCAGGAAGCATGGAGCAGAGGAGAGCAGAAGAGCAAAAGCCACCTCCATCTTTATTGTATGACTCTTATTCAGGTTGTTACCTCATGTATACATTCTTGACAGAGTGTTGTAAGCTACGCGTGTGTTTGCCTGTGCTAAGTCATGGTTACAGAACTGTATTCCACCATGCACCTGTGCTAGGCAAGTGGGGTCATATCTCCAGGTGTCCTTGGACACCCTGTGCTTTGCAGCAGTCAGAAACTAAGAAAGTAACAATTTGTGTATCTTGTGTGCCTTTGAGCCTTGGGCAAAGCAGACTTGGATCAAAGTCCCATGTATTTAACTTCTGACAGATTTTTTTTTCTTGATACCAAATATATGGTATCCTTTCTAACATCACTCCTTCAACTCTTTGACAACAGCTAGGTGTCCATTAATTCAATAAAGGCGCTCTCTACTTGGAGTTAGCATCATATCCTAGAAGCTAAAGAGTCCAGTTCCCAAAGATTTTTCTACTTCATATACAAATCACAAGTCCCTGCCCACCTATATTTCTGGCTCACCCT